CAAGTGCTCTCCAGGACTGCGTGTGAGGAGCCAAGGCAGATCACCGATGGTGACAGGCTCTCAGAAGGGCTGTCACGGCATGTGTCACCCTGTCTTCTGACTTGTCATGGCTGTAATGTTCATCCCGGCCTCTTTGCTCCCCCAGAAAATACAGTTTGGCACAATAAAGGGAAGTTTGGAATATTTTCGACATCTGTATTGTTTTGGTGAATAAACTCTGACACTTGTCCCACTATTTAAGTTCCAGGAATTGGCTCCAAAAAGGAGGAGTGCTTTTTCCTTAGGAGCCCTTTCATGTACTGAGCATCTTTGAGGAGATTAGTGACTGCTCACTGATACTTACTGATTCAAAGCAAGCAACTGAAGAACAAGGATGATCAGATATACATAAACACAGACACATCGTATGAATTATATACATATATATTACGTATGTGTGTGTGTGTGTGTGTGTGTGTGTGTGTGTGTGTGTGTGTGTGTGTGCATATCCCAGAGCACCTGAGTGGATGTCAGAGGACAGTCCTTGGGATTTCATTGTCTTCTTCCACCATGTGAGCTCAGGTGTCAGCCTTGGCAGCCAGCACATTTACCCGCTGAACCACCTCACAAATCCCAGATTCTTCGGAAATTAGAGCCTTGAATATTGTTGTTCATGGTCTCTCCTCACTTTTCTACTCACAAGCCACAGGACACAATACAACTGATAACGTTTAACTTTAATATATACGGCTATGGAATATATGCACACATATTTTGTCCTTAAAAATGATGGGCTGGTAAGTTAGAGCCTGCAGCCTAGATTTTTATTACACTAAGATTATTTTTATTACATTTATTTATTTATCTGAGACAGGGTCTTACGTGCAGTTTTTGCTGGTCTGGAACTTGCGATGTAGTTCAGGCTGGCCTCAATCTCACCAGTCTCTGCTTCTCAAATTCTGAGATTAAAGGCATGTACCACCATTCATCACACTCAGTTCACACGAACACACTCAGCTCACACACACACACACACACACACACACACACATGCACACACACAGAGACACACACAAACACACACATACAGACACACACAGAGAACGAAAGTGCAGTGTGCATGCTGGTGAGGTATACTTGTGGAGATCACGATCCTCGCACAACTTGTGGGTGCCATTTCCTGACTTCAAGCGTTCCCAGGGATTGAACTCAGATTGCCAGGTTTGGCAAGAGGCACCTTTACCTGCCAAGACTTCTCACTGGTGGTGGTTTTTCCATTGTCAAACTGCTGTTAAGAATAAAATATGTGGCAGAGACCACATAGCCCCCAGAGGCCCACGGCATTGACTCTCTGAGACTTTACAGAAAACATGTGCTGGTCCCTGGGCCATACGGAAAATATCAATAACAGAACTCACTCGTTTTGCACTTTCATTGAGAAATGAATTGTGTCCTTCCCTTCTTCCAAGTCAGGTCTTCCGATGGTAGACTCCGTGTTCACAGTCACCGCAACGAGACATGGTGCAATCTCCCATGTCAAACCTGGGATGTAATCAGTCACCGTTGGCTCGATGATGCCAGCTACTCCCCTGTGGTGGGGCAGCCCCTTCCCCTTCTTTGTGCTTTTACTGTCATCTGGACCTTTTCTAGGCACCAGCTTCCAATTTGCAAATCCCTTTGTTGACCCTGATATTTTGGTCAGATGACTGCACTTCTCTAATGGTTCTCATGAGCCTGTTCTGTCTCCCTCCCCTCCTTTCGCCCTCTGGGGGCCTCTCCGGTGACCCTTTGGGGTCACACGCCTTCCAAAGCTAATATTTCTGTGCCTGACATTTTCCTGTCCTTGTGTCACTTTAATCGCCTCAGTGGCTTTGGAATCAGCAAGCAGACGGTGGCACAAGGAGGCCTCCCTCAGGTGGCTCTCCTGTCAGGCCGGCTGGACCATTTCTGCAAGCGCTTGATTGCCTGCTCTGGATGCCGCTTGAAGACACCCTTCCTTGCATTCACCGGCATCCATATTGCACGGGTATGATTTCTTCCCCATGGGTCCTCACGCCCATTACTTCCCACATCTGCCCTTCTCACCAGATCACGTCAGTGGTCCAAGGAGGACCCCAGCAGCCAGTGCACACCTTTGTTACCAGAGCCAGGCTGATCTCAACCTTCCGGTTTTTAATTTTCTCTTCTCCAGCCAAGCTTGCTGAGTCTCTCCTGTTGCTACCCCAAATACAGCTGTCTTTTGACATCCTCACGTGCCCTGGCAGATGTGTGTGTGTGTGTGTGTGTGTGTGTGTGTGTGTGTGTGTGTGTGATGCTGGACTGGAGCCCTCAGGGCCTCTCACATACTAGGTCAGCACTACAACCCTAGCACCTGTCTTGGGTGTGTTTTCATAGGGAAAAGCTGATTTGCATATGCAGAGCAAGGCATTCTTTAGGAAGTGAGAAATGCACTAATACCATACACCACAAGGGTAAAAAACGGGACTATTTAGAAGTAAACTCTTACAAGAAAACCTCTTCAACTACCTAGTGGGAATAATGGTAAATATAGTGAATTGGCCAACTAAAGAACATATAGTTCTGCTAACCTTCATTTAAATAGAAGTTAAAGAACAAATAAATAAACTTTCCTAGGTGGATTGCTCACCTCTTGCGTCACTTGGTGGTACACTGTCTTGCCTCCAACAACATCTGTAAACATTCCGCTTCTATATATAAATGCTGTTTTTCCTTACATGAAGTAAGTCAGTGTCCTTCTATGTAAACATCTCCACTCCTCCTTAGAAACCAAATGGTACCCCATCCTGCACCCCCTATGCATAGCATCGTGGGTTACGACTGGTGGTGATCAGTCAGCTCCCCTCAGCTGGTGGATGTATTTTAGAGGGTGGTCACTCAACTGTGAGAAATGACTTGAAATAACCTGTGCCGGAACAGTTTTCTCCTTCATTTCCTTCCTTCTCCATTCAAAGTCCTTGTCCATCTTCTTTCTGGATTCTGTTCTCCCAAACCCGTTTCCAGGATGCATATTATACCAAATATAAGTTGGGACAACCTAGCCAGCATGCCCTTGTCTTGAACAGGACCTTCGCAGAGAGACCTACAAGCTACACCATGGTGCTGGCTCATTATACCACCTCCGACCTTACTCATTGAGAGATTTCCCTGGGCCTTAACTAGCACGTTAGGACAATGTGAATGAGAAGGAAAAATGTTGCTACCTGCATATGGAGTGTGCGTGTGTGTGTGTGTGTGTGTGTGTGTGTGTGTGTGTGTGTGCAGTGTTAAATTACAAATTGGTGTGCCCAATAATACTCCTGCTCAAATTTGGAGAGAAAAGGTTAAAACTAATATCCGACACCGCCAACAGCTCTGCAGTCTGAGGTCTGTGTCCATGCGTGTCTCTCTTCAGAAGTTCTCATGGTGAAGTTGGGATGGAGAAGGTGACAAACAGTTTTGACAGGGTGATGGTGACGTAAGCTTAGCTTCTTTCCCTTTAACCACAAATTTCTTGAACCCCCTAGACTCTCTCCAAGCAGATATTCTTACCTCTATTTTAAATACAGACAATGGAGTAAGACGCCATGGTTATTACTCAAACCATCCTCGGGAGACTGAATAAATTAATGCTGGTATTACTGGAGTCTGGTGGTAGAAATGTGTCTCAAATTCTAATTTGGAACCACCAGAATTAGTAGTGCCTGCTAACCCACCCAAGCCAGGGAATTGACAGAAGTAAGGGAAAATATCCCTTTTCTCTGCACAGGATAGGACTGGATCTCAGAAATAGAACTGTGTTCTCAGAAATGCCTGCCCACCCCCAAGGTTGGTTGACAAACGATAGATTTCCCAAGATAGCTGCCTCGATTGGTTTTTACTCTGTGTATTCCTTCGATTCCAGAACACGGCTCGTCACACTGTCTGAACTTAGCTTTCCTCAAAGCCCCACGGGCACAAGCAGGGAGGACCCACGACCCTGCAAGGGGATCCCAGTGGCTCCGTGCCCACACGCCAGCCTGCGGATGCACCACAGAGCTTCCCACTGTCATCCCACTCGCTATGAGGAGCACAGCTATTTTTACCTCCCCGGCTGCAGCCCTTTATATTTATTCGGAGGAAGGAAATAAATAAAGATTTTAGAAGGAAAATGCGTGGTCTCAGTTTTCCCTGCGCTGGTGAGGGTTGGTATAGGAGTGGGTGCTGAGGATGGGTCGCTTCCCTTGCCAAGTTGTTGCCAGATCAGGCCTGCCCAAGGCCTGGGAACCCCTGCCCTTTTCTCTGCGGGCTCATCTTTGACAGCAGGCTTCTTTCTACCCTACCCCCATCTTTGGAGGTGCCACCATCTCTTTTGATGCTGCTTGGGATGCTGCATCACTCTGCACCCCCCTCTCCCCACACCTCCCCGGGGCTCCCACAGTAGAGCATGCGCAGTGCGGCCCATGCGGGCCACAGCATCAGCATCTGCAAGAGCATCAGCATCCGCACCCGAAACCCTGCCCGGGCGCGCTCCCGGAGGGTGGGGTGCAGTACCGCGCCGCGCGTCCCCGCGTCTCGCGCCCGCGCCGCGCGTCCCCGCGCCCCCGCTCGCTCCCGCGCGCCTCCTCAGCATCCTCAGGCCCGGCAGCAACCCCCGCAGTCACTGGAGCGGCCGCGCCCGCCGCTGGGAGGGTGCAGCCGCTCGGGAGGCTCCAAGTTGGCCGAGCAGAAGGGACCCCCCTCTGCGGGCCGCTCCCCGAAAGGCGAAAAGAGGCCGAGGAGGACGCGCCGCCGTCCCCGAGCCCCCCAGTCCCTGACCCCTGCCCGCGGCCGCAGCAT